GAGGGTGTAGGATGAGGAGGGTGTAGGATGGGGATGGTGTAGGATGAGGAGGGTGTAGGATGAGAATGGTGTAGGACCAGGCAATGCTTTGTTCTGTTGTGCATAGGGTCACTCTGAGTCGGAACCAACTCAACAACATCTAACAACAAAGCAACAAATGGCAAAATGCTTAAAGCACTTGGCTGCTAACTGAAAAGTTAGCAGTTCGAATCCTTGTCACCAAGGGAGAAAGATGTGGCAGTCAACTTCAGTAAAGACAGTCTTGAAAACCCTGTGGGGCAGTTGTATAAGGTCACTACTGAGTCACAACTGACTCCATACAAGTGAGTTTGGGTTTCTTTGGTATTGTTTTTAGGATGTGCATATTAAGGTATTTGGGGGCAGAGAGACATTATTTCTCCAACTTTCTAGCAAAGGTTCAGTTTTAAAATATATGCATATAATAACATGCTGTTGATTTTGACTCATGGCAACCCCATGTGTGTCTAAGTAGAACTGTGCTCTGTAGAGTTTTCAGTGACTTGATTTTTTGAAAGTTGGTCACCTGTCTTTCTTCCAAGGTATTTCTGGGTGGACTTAAACCTCCAATCTTTCAGTTAGCAGTCAATTGTGTTAAGCGCTTATATAACTCCTATACTACCCTCTAAGCCGTCCATATTTTTTAGAAGTCCTGGTGTGGCACTGTGGGTTAATGAGCTGGACTGCAAAGTCGGTTTGAACCGCAAGGTTGGCAGTTCAAGCTCACCAGTCACTCTTTGGAAACCCTATACAGGATCGCTATGGTTTGGAACTGACTCGACAGCATACCACAGCAACAACAAACGATAGAGTAGAAGTGCTCCATGGGCTTCCTAGGCTGAAATCTTTACAGGAATAGATCACCAGCTATTTTCTCCTGCAGAAGAATTGGTGAGTTCCACCAGCTGACCCATCAGAAGCTGAGAGTTAACCATCATGCCTCCAGGGCTCCTTATGTGTGTGCCTATGTTTGTATGTATATATATGTATGTGTGTGTGTGCACGCATACATATGTATATAAAGCTCTGGTGGTACTGTAGGCTATATATTGGACTGCCAACTGCAAGACTGGCAGTTCAAACGCACCTTGGGAAAAAGATGAGGCTATTCGTTCCCATAATATAGGATCCTATGAGTCATAATCAACTTGATGGCAGTGGGTCATATATGTGTGTGTGTGTGTATATATATGTATTTCATCCATTTGTGACTATATACACAGCATTTATATATATGCGTATATACACATTGTTGTTGTAAAGTGCCTTCGAGTCGGTTCTGACTTACAGTGACAATGTATAGGGTTTCTGAAGAGTAGATGGTGAGCTTGAGCCACCAACCTTGAGGTTCAAATCAACCTTGCAGTCCAGCACATTAACCTGCAGAGCCACAGCAGAATTCTCTCTCTCTCCATATATATGGAGCATGGTGGCTCTGTAGTATAAGCATTGGACTGAGAACCACACAAATAGGTGGTTCAAGCCTACTAGCCACTCCAAGGAAGAAAATGAGACTTTCTGTTTCTGCCAAGATCTACAGCCTCAGAAACCCTGTACAGGGTCACTATGAGTTGGAAGTGAGTTGATAGCCTTAACGATATATATACTGGTTGTTGGTTCCAGTATATATAGCAGAGCAGCTGGTAGTTTCGAACTGCTGACCTCGCTGTTCACAGCCCGATTCATAACCACTATACTACCAGAGCTCCTTATATCTATACATAGATAGATAGATAGAGAAAAAAGAATAAAACAAAAGTTGTAAAATATTAACATTGGCAGAAACTGGGTGTAGAATATACAGAAATTCTTTGTCCCATCCTTGCTTTTTTTCCCCTGAAGTTATGTGTTAACTTGAAAAAAATGTGTTAAAGTTAAAAGACAAAAATAATGTGAAATTGATCCATATAAAATTGCTGCAATTTCAACAATTTCTGATTATATACACAGCACTTTTATGATTCAGTGTATAAATTCTCTTCCTCTTTTCTAATATTCATACATTCTTTTCTTGTCCAATTACAGTGGCTAGTATCTCCAGAACAATATTGAATACCTTGCCTTAGCCCTGGTTTTGATGGCTTTTTCAGAATTTATTTCCTTTGATTCATTAATATAGTGGATTATATTAACAAGCTCCTGAATATTGAACCATCCCTATATGTGAGGAATGAATTCTTTTTCTTGTGGTAGAGTGTAAAAACCTTCCACTGGGTTGCTCAAATTCCATCTGAGAGTTTCATACCCTCCTCACCAGGAGAGGTCTCTGTAGTTTTAGCATTGTTCCATTTTTGTCAGCTTTCAGTATCAAGAATATGCCAGCTCTTTAAACATGTGTCCTATCACCCATTTTACAGAGTAAACTGAGGCTCAGATGGGGGAAGGGGCCCTTCCAGGTTACTCTGGAGCCAGGACTCATGACAAATTCTCTTGTCTCTGGTATGAGGGAGGTTCTGAAGTCCCAATTGAGTCTTCTAGTGACGAAGTGGGTCTGTTTCCCATATGCAGAATAAGTAGTAGGTGGTCAGGGAATGATGGGTTTGGGTGCCCGTTCTGAACAGTTTGTCCAGGGAGACTCCTGGGTCTGAAGCTGAGTTGATGGGGTCGACTGGGCGTCTCATCCAGCATGTCCCTGCAGGACCCCCACTGTGCCTGTCCTGTTTACCTCGAGCCCCAACATATTGGGGGCCGAGTCACCCTTCTACGGGCCGCGCAGGCCGCCTGCAGCCCCCAGAGGATCCCGTGCGGGGGCGCGAGCCGGGGCTAGGCCGGGGTCGGGTCCGGGACCTGGACCGGGACCTCGATCGGGGCTGAGGGCGCGATTCTCGGCGTTGATGGCCCATCTCAGTCTCCAGGACGTTGCTGCAGGGAAGGGGGACGATGTTCGTCAGCACTGGGACCTCCGTCCTCAGAGACCCCAATCATCCTTCGCCAAAGCGTCTCTTTCCAGGGTACCCCACTTCCCAAGATCTCTACCTGCCCCTTCTCCCAGCCCTCCACCCCCAGGGTCACCCATCCAAGCCTCGGCCCCTCCCTGAAAAGTCCTCTCCCATACACATACCTCCAGATACTTCAGGCCCTTCCAACTCCCTGGATGCATCTCGACCGAGCCACCAACCCCTCACCCTTCACCCTTGTTCCTTCCCCAGGACTTCCACCTCAGGATCCTCCATCCCTCCCCCAATCTCGGCCATTTCCGGGAAGCGACATCTGTCCGCAAAGACATGCTCCCAGCTCGGTTCTACAAACCACCGACCCTGCCTTGCTATTCCCTTTTCCTTCGGTTGTCTGCTTCTCCCTTGTTGTTAAGTGCCCCGAGTCGTTTCCAAGTCATAACGACCCCTTATAGGGTTTCCGAGGAGCGGATGGTGAGCCTGAACCGCCGACCTTGCGTTTTAAACCAACCTTGCGGTACAGCGCAATAACCCGCAGCGCCACACCAGGACTCCCAGCTTCTCCCTGGGACCCCTGTGAAATCGCCCGATCCCAGGAGTCCTTGCCTCCCCGAGGGACTGCCCTACTTGGGAACCCTTACCCTAGAGAGTCTAACCTTGTTTCCTATTCTAGAATCCTCATTTGACACCCCCGCTCCCCCTAGACTTCCCCAAAGCTACACCCTTAGACCTACGCCTTCACCTCTCCCTGAGGTACCCTTCCCTTCTACCCGCCCTTCTTCCACAATCAAATGATGATTGGCTGAAAGAAGTACACCCTGCTCAATCATTTGCCGTGATCCCCGCCCATCCGCCCCGGGCCCGCCCCTGACTCACACACGCTCTCTCAGCGCCGCCTCTCGGGCAGCGCAGGCTCCACCCTCGGCCTCCGCTGCGCGTATTCGCTGCTGCGCTTCTTCCAGCCGCTGGGCGGCCTCCGTGGCAGCCGCCTCCCAATGCGTCAGGGCTTCTACGAGCGGGAGCAGAGTTTTATTTTCTGCGTATAATTTGCATGCTTTGCTTTATTTGTCTTAAATGTGTGTGATATTTCTATAGTTTTTGTGTTACTTTTGTGAGCCGTTTACCTGATGTTTGCATATTTTGTTACATTTGCGTTGATTTTCTGATATTTGCATGGTGTTTGCGTGTTGTTTGCATTCCTCCCATAAGTTTGCATGATCATTTACATTTCGCTTGCATTCATTTGCATATCTAGGAACCTTCTAGGCGCCCCCCACTTCTAGCCCCTCCCACCCTTTGAGCCCCAACACACCTGTCAGCGCCCCGTTCTCCTCCCCCATTTGGGTCCCCTGTGCCCTGGCCTCGTCCATCTCAGTCTTCAGTGTCTTCAGTTGGGTCTGAAGCCGGCTCTGCAGAGAGGAGGGGAAGATGGCAGGGAGGGAGTAAATTGGTCCTGATCTCTCAGAGGAGCTTGAGATTTTTGTTGGAAAGTCGTTTGGGGTTCCTATAGCGTCCTGGTGTGGCGCTGTAAAATAAGCATTGGACTGCTAACCGCAAGGGTTTTGTTGTTGTTCAGAGCGGTCATTCAGTTCTGACTCATAGAGACCAACAGGAATGGGAAATCTTTTTTCTGCCAAGGGCTACTTGGATATTTATAACATCATTCATGGGCAATACAAAATTATCCATTTAAAATTCAGCCTACTATAGTTCGTCAGGAGTCGGTGTGACGCTGTGGATTAATGCGCTAGACTGTTCAAATTTACCAGCTGCTCCTCGGAAACCCTATGGGTTGGAACCTACTCTACTGCACGTCACAATAGCATATTAATTAACTCACCACTAATGTGATGGTTCTTGGAGTGGCTCTGTGGGTTAGACAGCAAGGTAGATTTGGACCACAAGGTTGGTGGTTCAAGCTGCTCCTCAGAAACCCTATACAGGGTCGCTGTGAGATGGAACCAACTCAATGGCACTTAACAACAGGATGTGATGGCTGGAACTACTTTGCCAGACCAAATGATTTTGAGGGTCCCATGTTCCCTATCCCTACTATACAAGGTTGCTATGAGTCAGAACCTGCTTGACAGGGCAATGCTGTAGAATCAGCACTGGACTGTTCACCTCAAGGTCGGCAGTTCAAACTCACCAGCTGCTCTTGGAAACTCTATACAGACAGGGTTCTATGAGTGGGAACTGACTCAACAGCACTTAACAACAACAACATAGAAGTCAATAGGTCCCTAAGTGGAGCCCTGGCGTGGCTCTGTAGGATAAGCAATCTACCAGAAGGTCGGTTTGAACTGCAAGATTGGTGGCTCAAACTCACCAGCCACTCTTTGGAAACCCTATACAGGGTGGCTGTGAGTGGGAACCGACTCGATGATACTTAACAACAAGTGGCATCATTTGTGCTGGACAAGAAGGAGCCTTGATGATGCAGTGGTTCAAGTGCTTGGCTGCTAACAAAAAGACCCTTGGTTTGAACCCACCAGTCACTTCATGGGAGTTCAAACCGCAAGATAGGCAGTTCAAACCCATCAGCTGCTCCTCAGAAATCCTACACAGGGTCAATAGGAGTTGGAAGCAACTCAAAGGCACTAAACAACTAACACTGGGAGAAAGATGAGGCTTTCTGTTCTTGTAAAGATTCACAGCCTCAGAAGCTCTATACAGTATTACTGTTGAGTGAGACCCAACTCGACTGTACTTAACAACATTAACTTAAAGGTTCAAACACACCCCACTGCTACCAGGAAAGAAAACTTGTCAATCTGCTTCTATTAGGATTCCAACTCACAGCGATCCTGTAGGACAGAGGAGAACTGCCACATCGTTCTCCTTCAGAGCAGCTGGTGGGTTCAAACCACCGACCTTTGGGTTAGCACTCTAACCACTGTGACATCAGGGCTTCTGTTAAGCTTGGTGGTGGTGGCTGTTTGCCACAGAGTCGGTTCCAACTCATAGTGACCCTGCACAGGGTTTCTAAGGCTCTAAATCTTTATGGGAGTAGACAGCCTCATCTTTCTCCCATGGAGTGGCTGGTAGATTGGAATGGCCGACCTTGAGTTAACAACCCAGCTCATAATCCATTCATAATGCTACCAGGGCTCCTTGCAGCCAAGAAAACCATGGAGCAGTTCTACTTTTAACACTTGAGAAGTCTCCTTGAATTGGAATCGACTCAATGACAACATGTTTGGGTTTTTTTGGGTTGGTAGTTGTAAAACACAGAAGTGACCACTGAAACCCAGGAAGCACAGTAGTGACAGCTGCCTGCCTGGAAGGGGGTCTCCACGCAAGCCCACCCTCCCCACCATAAGCTACCAGGCAGTGGAAATGGCTTACCTCTGCAGTCAGACAGACCAAGGCTCAAACCACAACTTAGAAGAGCAACCTGGGGTTTTCAAAACAACCCAAGCCAGTTTGGTGTTTGACAATAATTGGATAATACATACCTGACTGTCTGTGTGGAGTATTTTGTGCAACAACTGGGCTGGCCTCTTTAAGGAATCTTCCAGAAAAGGGCCAAGATGGGCTTGAAACCAGAAAGTTGTTCTTAACCCCAATTACTCTAACTTCTCTCCTTAGGCAGATAGAAAAGGGGCCCATTTTGATGTTTAAAACTCAGATGTTGTCTAATGTCTTTGCTGGGCGAGGTACACAGTGCTCTTTTGCAAGAATCAGCTCCTTTGCAAGAAGTTTTTTTTTGCAAGAAAACCCTATAGAACACAGTTTTACTCTGCACTCATGGTATGACCATGAGCTGGAATCAACTCCTCAGCGACTAACAATAACTTTTGTGAGGTAAAGGACTGGGGAGGGTTAAGAAGGAACCGAAAGAGGGGTGACTGGAGGCAAGGGAGGGGCTGGCTAGTACTTCCCACAAACCACCAACTTTGGCCTCCTAATTACAGGTGACTCGAGTCTCTCAAAATAGGGCTGCTGGACACTGGCTGAAGTTGGGGGAGGGAGGGAGACACTGGGTTGCCCCAGGTAGGCTTGAGGATCTAAAACTTCAACCCATTAAAACGCATTGCTTTTGAGTTGATTCCGACTCATGTGTTAAAAGAACAGAACGGAGTTTCAAAACACAGGGTTTTCTTGGTTACAACCTTTACAGAAGGAATCCTGGTGGCACAACAGTTAAGCGCTCAGCTGCTAACTGAAAGATTGGTGGCAGTTTGAACCTACCCAGTGGAGCCCTGGTGTAGGATAAGCACTGGACTGCTCACCGCAAGGTCAGTGGTTCAAACCCACCAGCTGCTCCTCAGAAATCCTACACAGGGTTGATAGGCGTTGGAAGCAACTCAAAGGCACTAAGCAACGAACAGTGGGAGAAAGTCCTGGTGATCTGCTTTTGTGAACATTACGTAACCCAAAGCCAGATCTGTTGCCTGTCGAATTGATTCTGACTCATAGCCACTCTATAAGGCAGAGAACCGCCCCATTGGGTTTCTAAACTGTAATCTTTATGAAAGCAGCTTGCCACATTTTTCTCCCGCAGAGCATCTGGGGTGGTTTCAAATCACTAACCTTTTAGTTAGCATCAGAGCATGCAGCCACTGCACTTCGAGGGGGCTCTTTTCAGTAAAGCTTACAGTCCCAAACAACTCGATGGGGTAGTTCTACTCTGCCCCATGAGACCATTATGAGTCAAAATGGACAGGACAGCACCCAACAATAGCCTGGAAGCAGACCAGCAGACCTTTCTTCTGCAGTGCTGTTGTTGGGTTTAAATGGCCAAACTTTAGACTATCAGACAATTGTACCACCTGGATTCCCTAAGGCTTCCTCAGCCATCATTCCTCATCCCCCAAATAAAAGAAGAGGGTAATGGGACCCTCTTGGGCAGAAGGTATAAATAAATATAAGGGTGCACTGTTTTTGCAGGAATTGTAAGGGATTATGGTACTATTTGCACTGGTCTCTTGCAATTGAAGAATTGGGGAAACTGAGGCATAGGGTGGTGCGGGGACTAGAATCTGGTGCCCTGAGATGTGTGTGCAAGCCTTGGACCCCAAGATTCCAGATTTTTCTCGGGCCTTTCACCCTACCCACATACCTGGCGGCCCTCACAGGCCCTTAGCGCTTCCTCCAGCGCCTGGCGGACACTCTCAGCCTGGTCCAACTGTCCTGCCAGGGCCTCCTGGCGCTGGACAGCTTCAGTCAGTTGGCGACGCAGCTCCTCAACTTCGGGAGGGTCCCTGGGTGGGTCTCCAGGTGGGTTCCAGGGTGGCAAGGTGGCGTTAGTTCCGAGCTCTGGACATGGAGGCCTCCGGGCGGCGGAGGCAGCCAGGTTCCAGGCCAAGAGGGCCGCACCAGCTGCCACGACCGCCAGGAATACTGCAGCCCCGCACAGGGCAAGCAGCCGCCACACGCGGCTCGGCTCTGGCCCCGGATCGGCCATGCTGCTGTCCCCAGCGCTCGTCCCAGACGGCCACGAGCATTTAATTGGCACCTTGGGGTGCCAGGGACACCCACGGTTCCACCCCGCCCAGTCAGGGTTTCCTGATCCGTGGGGAGGGACTGGACCCCCGCCAGGAGCCAGCCCAGTTTATCGGAACCCAAGGCTGCCCTGGAGATTTCAGGTTCCAGTCCTGTCTCTCTGACTCTCATCGAGCCTCAGTTTCTTCCTCCGGGGCTTGGAGTAGGAGCTAAGGGCTCTGGGCAAGGAAGCGGTTGCTATTGTTAAGTGCCGTGGAGTCGGTTCCAACCTATAGCGACCCTATATAGGGTTTCAGAGGAGCAGCTGGTGAGCGTGAACCGCCGACCTTGCAGTTCAAACGGCTTTGCAGTCTGGCGCATTAATCCACAGCGCCACTCCAGGGAAGCGGTGTTGTTATGTGCCGCGGAGTCGCTTCCGATACATTGCAACCCTGTACAGGGTTTCTGAGGCTGTAAATCTTTACAGGAGCAGAAAGCCTCATCTTTCTCCCGCAGAAAAGCTGGTAGTTTCGAACTGCTGACCGTGAGATTAGCAGTCCTATTCATAACCACTACGCTACCAGAGCTCCGTAGGTAAGTGGTTGTTGTTGTTAGGTGCCGTCCGGTCGGTACCGACTCATAGCGACCTTATGCACAGCAGAACAAAACACTGCCCGATCCTGGACCAACCTCACTATTGTTGCCACGCTTGAGCCCATTGACGCTGCCACTTTGCAAATCCATCTCGCTGGGGGTCTTCCTCTTTTTCTCTGACCCTCCACCTTAACAAACATGATATCCTTCTACAGCGACTGGTCCCTCCTGACACTATGTCCAAAGTATGAGAGACGAAGTTTGGCCATCCTGGCCTCCAAGGAGCACTATGGTCGCTAGCCTCATTTTATTGGGACCCACTGTGAGGTCCTCAGGGAAACCCAGCCTCATCGCCCCGCTGTTCTCCACTGAGCCGCGAGGGGGCGATCTTGGAATGAGAATCGGATCCGGGTGTGTTGTCGATCAGCCCCTGGCTTTCCTTCCTTTCCAATCCAATCCCCTTCCTCTATCTTACCTATTTCTTCCTGTCCCTCCGATCTCAACCTCAGCTCTTCCCTCATCCCTCCGATCTCAACCTCAGCTTTTCATCCTCCTTACAAGACCCCTTACTCTCTGAATGAGGCAAACGGTTAAGCACTCTACTACTAGCCAAAAGGTTGGCGGTTCAAACACACCTAGAGGCGCCTTGGAAGAAAGATGTGGCGATCTGCCTTGAAAACCCTATGGCGCAGTTCTACTCTTCACACATGATTCACCATGAGTCAAAGTTTACTTGGCAACTAACAGCAATGACACTTCAGGACACATCTTTGAAGTCACCTCCCTCTTCACCAGCCCCTCTCCTCCCCTTTTCCGCCCAACTGCCCTTGACCTCTCATCTCACTTAACAACAACAAACAGGAAGCCCCCTTTCACCCACTGGCTCAGCCCTCCTCTTTTTTGATAAATTTTACTGTGGTGAAAAAGTAACATAGCAAAATATACTCCATCTTAGCCGTTTACGTCTGGACAATTCAGTGCTCTTCTTTCACAAACCACTTCACCACCATGAACATAAACTCACTGCCCCCTAATTAAAAAGTCCCCTTTGACCCCCTTCCCTCCACTTCTGGTTGTTGTCTTGTTAGTTGTTCTCCAGTACAGTCTTCACTCAGATAGACCCCACATTACAGAATTGTTGTTATTGTTAAGTGCCATCAAACTGGTTCCAACTCATAGTGACCCTGCATATGGTTTCCGAGAGCAGCTGGTGGGTTTGAACTGCCAACCTTGTGGTTCACAGTGCAGTGCTGATCCTACAGCGCCACACCAGGAGCCCTAGTGTT